AAAGGTGCCCCCTAGCTCACTTGATGTATAGCCCATAAAGGAAGGGCAGCTTCTCTTGAGAAATTCTGGCCCCAGTGACATTGGAGGCAGCCCAACCCACTGGACACCAATGAGGGGAGTGTACTGGGCCTTTTCAGCAAGGGGGCAGTGCATATGTCTACCCTCCATGGGGAAATGCCCCTCAGACACCTCCAAACAAAAGGCAATAATTTAATCATCAATTGACTGGGACCAGAGGAGCAAGACATAGAGCTAGAAAGCACCTTAGAGGTCAGTAAATCTAACCTACTCACTTTACAGAGGAGGAAATTGAGGCATAGAGAGGTTAAGGGACTTGCCAATGGTCACACAGTTACTAGGTGGGACATGAGCCTAAATCTTCCTAACCCCAAGTCCAGCTCACTGTCTGTTATCTCTCTTCAAGGTAATTAGAAACTCTCCTACTCACTTTCTTCCATCTGATCTGTCCAAGGTGCTGCTGAGCCCAAAGGTATAGAGCTGGTAAGACTATGGCTCCTGCCCTCAAGGTGTGAGTCCAGCACTCAGGAAGTTTATAATACAGTTGGAGTCAGAAGGCAGAAATATGTGAAAAGGCCAAGAATGAACAACAGATTCTTTTCTTACTTCATTTGTTTTAGCTCAGAATGGTTTAAAGTATAACTTTCTACTTGCCAGCTATCATAGAGTCGATGGATTTCCACTTCCTATTTCTGGGGTCCAGACTGTCATCAGAGTAGGCTCTCTGGCAGCAATGCAGATTCAAAATCCATGGCACCTTGGTAGGTGGTCTTTGAGAGCTGCCTTAGCTGAAAAAATCAAACTCCTGAGGCCAACTTGGTGCTGGGCCTCTCCAAACTTGGACTCATTTTCAAGCAAGAGTCACTGGCAGAGCCCAATGCCAAGCCTATAAATGAAATCTTTCTGTCTTGGCTGGATCTGCCAGAGTTTGCCCTCACCTGACATGAGCTTTGAGAGTCATCTCCAAGCCAGGATAAGCCATTAGAGAAGTAATTTAGTAGAGGAAATATTTTTATAAGCCATCAAAATGTCTGCCTACTTAGTTAATAGATAGACAAGTGAATATACAAAAATAACAGGGTACTGCCTCCATTTGGGTAGGAGGAGATGTGCATCATTGACTCAGAGACTTTGATCACTAAACACAGTGGCAGAGCTATTAGGAGAGGGAAATCTCTTAGCCTGGCTGGAGTGAAACAGGCATTGGTGTTAGCTCTCCCCCAAGCCAAGTTCACCCTGGTCTTGGGGTAGGTCTGGAGAGGTGGTGGGTCCGCAAAAACACACATTATGAGGATCCCTGCCCATACTGACTTAGAAAAACTCATATTAACATTGTCTATGTTCTACTGTATTTTTATTTATTTGGTTAAATATTTCCCAATTACATTCTGGAACCTCTAGTCTAGAGCATCTACCAATCAAAATCTCTCTTTTAGCAACCAAAAGTCCCCATACAAAATGTCTGTTCTTGGTAAACATTGATGAATGCATTCATGGAGCTAAAATAAATTTAGGTTCCCTGGCCATTTCTACAAACAGTGATGTGCAAATTCTGGCTCATATTATTATCATTAATCAATGACTTGCCCAGGGTCACACTGATAGTCAGCACTGAGGTGGGATTAGAACTCAAGTCTTCCTGACTCCTGGCTCAATACTCCTTCCTCTGCCATCCACAGTGACCACTGTCCTCAAGTAGCTAAAGACTTCTTAGGAACTAGGACCTCAGAGACCATCTAGGCCAATCCTAAGCATCAGGACCAGTGGGTGAGTCTGAGAAGCTGCCAATAAGTGAATTTAGGCACAACATCAGAAAACAAAACTTCCTTCCTCACCATTAGAGCTACCCAACTGTAAAATGAGCTGCCTCAGCAGGACCTGAGGCCCCAGTCACTGAAAGCCACCAAGGTTGGAGAACCATTGTTGGGTGTGAGGCTGAAGAGACTCTCCTGCAGATGCAAGGTGTCTGGGATGGCTTCTGGGAGCAAGTTCTGTGGTTCTGACTCTCTGATGCAGCTTGCAAGCAGAGAATCACTCCCTGAATTAATTTGGGGATTTTTTTTAGAGCAACAGACCTGCTCCATTTCATTGTGAGAGACTGATTATATCCAGATGGCCAAAGTTTACAGGAAACATCCAGCCAAAGGTAGAAGAGGCATGAAGGGAGCTGGGGAACATTTTAAATAGAATCTCAGATAGGAAAAAGAGATAAACATCTCATCATACTCTTCAGTTTGGGCACAAACACTTAGAGAGAAACAGATCCTGTTTCTCATCATTTCTTGTCTTGTTTTTGGCTAAAGCCAAGGAAGGCCCACTCTGGGGATAGCTTGGATGTGGTGAAGGGTACTTCCAAAACCAGCGGGGCACAGACCGTACCGCTAATGGAAATTATTCTGATGGTCTGACTCAGGATTAGCTCAGGTTTCAACTCTACAGAACCATCTGGCTAGAGGACCCTCATGGTCATTTTCAAGAAAAGATTGAGAATGTGGGCTTTGCCTAGAAAAACAAAGATGGTTAGACACAGATTCACTGTCTCAAATGAGCCACTCACACAATTCTGAACGAGGCTCAAAGGCACCCTCCCCTGTGATCCCAGAGTCACCCATCCCTGGCTCCCTTTTCCATGCAATTAATTCCCAAACTATCTTTCAGGGGCCATTTCCTGCCTATCCAGGAAGGGGTCCCCGGAGCTGTGACATCAATTTCTTATTCCTTTATACTACACTAAGATTTTCACCAAGCAAAAGAAAATGCCAAAGGGAGAGGAAAGGAAGAAATGGATACAAATAAATGTACAGTATCAGATAGCTCAAAATCAGGGAACAAATTATTTTTATAATGTTTTCCATTACATTAAGGGTCAGGCTCTCAAGGTAAGCAAGGGCACTTGCCTGGGATTATGGCAAATTTTGTGATTTTAGTCAAGGAGGGAAGAGGGAAAGTAAAAAAGGAAGCATAGATGTAGTATTTTGGTTGTTCTCTTAGGAGGAGATTTGCTGGGTAGCTGAGGGAGGGGAGATAGATTTGGGAATGAAGATGATATGAAAACAAAAGATATAAGGGAAACCATGAACACACACAGGATAGCAGATCAGCAAACAAAGAGAGGACAGAATAAGAAGAAACTACCCAGGGACCTGGCTATGTGGGAATTGGTCCATCCTGCTACACAGGGGTATTCCAACCTAGTTTACAGGTTTTCTTGTGATAATTTTTCATCTCAGTATTTACTTCTCCCCCACTGTGAGAATACAAGAATCTTTAAAATTGTAAATCACGAGATATCTCTCACGGTCTCTGTGTGTGTGTCTGTCTCTCTCCCCCTCTCTCTCCAGCTGAGGAGACTGAAGCCAGAGGGGAGCCAGGTCCTAAAGGAAGTACCCAGTAATCCTGCTCTAAGACTGGCAAATTGTTTAGATGCTGATCAGACCTGGGAAAGGGAGGTTATGGATGAACTGATCCTAATTTGATAATTCTGAGTGACCGACACCAACTGTTGGGGCACACTGCTTTCCTTTTGTCAACCGATTCTAATTACAAATAAGCTCTATTAGTCAAGTCTTTGGAGGTTACATTGTCTTCCAAACTCTCCCTAGAGTAACATTCTTGATTAGTTGAAAAATTAATCCTTTCTTTTCACTGTAACCCTGACAACCTACACTTCCTTCTCAGCAAGTAGAAAGCTAATTAACATGCTGTTAATTTCTAGGGTTCTTTCAGATTCTTCTTCTTTGGGGGGGGAGGGGCCCTTACTATCTCTTCTGAGAAAGGAAAGACATTCAAAGACAAAGAATGTTATAGATGTAACATACATTTAACTGAACGCCAGACCATGACACTCTCAGGGGGAGTCATGGAGTTTGAAAGTTTTGAATATCATCTTCACCTTGGAAATCACTTTGGATAGTTTTATGCCAAGAATGAGGGTTATCCCCAGGTTATCCCTACTGTTAAGTGGGGCATCTCACAAAGGTTTCTCCTTCAACATTTTTTTTAAATTAATTTATTTTTAGTTTTCAACATTCACTTCCACAAGATTTTGAGTTCCAAATTTTCTCCCCATCTCATCCTTCCCCTTACCCCAAGATGGCATGCATCTCCAACATTTTTAAATGGGAGGAGTCAGGTATAAATGGAACATTTCAAGATTCGTGAATGGGAAGAAAACAAAGAGACACGTACTCCTAGATGAAAGGAGAGAAGCCATTGTAGTTTAGTGATGATGGAGGAAAGGGAAGGTATGATATGGATCTCTGACTTTTCTAAAACCTCTTGCCACTCACCTCATTCTCTTTTTCACCCAGTTCTCTGAATGGTGGCTTATTGACATGAAACCATAGAAGGGTGGAGCCTTCAATGTTCTAGGATTGCTAGGATTTGTCATAAACTGACGATGGCCATCCCAAAAGTTTTTTTTCTATTGGACTTATTGTCTTAGAATGTGGGTTACTTGAGAGTGGGGCGCCCTTTTTCTATCTGTATCCCCTGCACTTGGTTGTAGTGCTTTGCACACATGAGGCATTTAACACATGTATTAGTCATTCCTTTATATTCAGCTACAGATAAATAGCAATGCTTGTTGATTGATTGTTTGGCCGAATAATCAATGTCAAATGCAAGATCATGCCTATTCCTAAAATGAAACGGGAAAAAAACTAATAATGAAATCTTAAATATTTAACTTTTAAAATCCTGACAGGCCATTCCCAACATATAAATGGTCAAAGGATGTGAGCCAATGGGGTTAGAGTTAGAGTTGGAGGCATTTTGGAAGGGTGCTCAGTTGGCTTAAAAAGGTTACAGCACATTCCCAGCAATGGATTACGTGCAAGCCCATAGCACTAACTACCCAGTGGATACAAATGACGTTATAGCTCTTTATATGGAGCACAGCACCATCTTTGCAGTCCTTTGGGAGGAGATCTGGGGTAGAGCAATGCTCTGCAGAGCATCACAGGAAGACAAGGTCCACTTACCAAGGTCTTATGGTCGCCAGGCAGTCTGAGGCAAGTCCATTAGTTGTAAAGTTGGTGTAAAGTTGTTATTCGGCTGGGTCTATATTGATTCAAACATATAGGATGAACTCCATCACATGTAGACTGCCCCCCAAATTACTATCTCTGAAAATAAATCACATAACAATATACAATGAAAAGTATTAAATACAAAAACTAAAATCCTGGAGGGAACTGCTCTGAAGAATTTTCTTCTGTCAAAGCACATAGTTCCCTGCTTTGTGACTCCAGGTCTTGGAAAATTGCCTGGTAAACTAAGAAGTTAAGTGACTTTCAGAGGGTCCCCCAGTCAGTCCATGTCAGCAGTGAGACTTGAACCCAGGTCTTCCTGACCTTGAGCTCAGCTCCCTAGTTCCTACACCAGCCTACCCTATGGAAAGAGGTGCCTTCGGTGAGCTTTTGCTTTCCATTCCTATCCATTCACGTAGAGATAATGTTCAATTGCTGTTTTCTTCACGTTCACCCCTTCCACGCTTTCCCGATGAGATCACAATTGAGCAGAGATTCTGTTTCCATTCTGTACCGGTCAGATCTTGGCTGAGTGGCCAAGGGAAGAAGGGGACATATAACAAAGGAAACAGGTTTCCTTACTTGGTTTGGGGCCACCCTGTATAGGCAGAGTGAGACAGTAAAATGCCACTTATTAAGCACTGGGTGGGGAGGACGGTTGTGTTTGCACCTGTTATTGCTGCTGTTGACCTTGTTCAAGCGGTTCAGTCATTTTGTGTCCACCTCCTTGCGACCCCCCGTGGGGTTTTCATGGCAAAGACCCTGGAGTGTTTGCCGTTTCCTTCTCCAGCTCATTTTATGGAGGAGGAACTAGGGCTACCAAGAAGGACCAAAACACCATCCCTGGTGCAAGCAACTATGCACATACAGAACATTTTCAGAGGAGATGAAAGCTCGTCTCAGAGGGAGGAGGCAGACCAGGATGGTCACCTACTGAAGGCAGAATCTGAGCTGAATCTTGAAGGAAGTGAGGCAAGTCAAGAGAAAGGTGAATAAGGAGAGCATGGGAGGCATGGGAGATAGCCAGCATAAATGCATGAAATCTGGAGGTGGAAAGGCATGGTCTTGTGACTGCTCATAGGCCAGGGGCTCTGGGTCATAGGAAGGGTGGGGGGGAGTCAAATGGGAAGTCGGTTGAAAAGATGGGAAGGGGCCAGGGTGTGAAACCCTTTCAATACCAAACAAGGATGGTTAACTTTGATCTTAGAGATAATAGTGAGCTATTGAAGTGCACTGAGTAAGGAGGTACCATGGTCAGACCTGCTCTTTAGTGTGACCCAAGTTTCCAGTCAAGCCTAGAGAATTCGCATTAGACTCTCCTAATTGGTGGAAAGAATGCTAATGCAATTCTGCAGGCCTTAATGAAGGGAGAAGTTGGTTCAAGAGCTTTTGTGCCAGCCAGATGACACCTGGGAGACAATGCTGGACCTAGAGTCAGGAATACCTAAGTTCAAACCCTGCCTCACATACTTCCCAGCTGTGTGACCCTGGGCAAGTCACCTAAAGCTTCACTTTCCTAATCTGTAGGATGGGAATATTGGTAGCACCTATTTCATAGGGTTATTATCAAATGAGGTACCATATAAAATGCTTTGAAAACCTTAAAGTCATATGGAAATGCTAGATATTACTATTTTTATATTATTATTTCATAGTTTCATGGATATTAGTGGAGTGTATGGGTTGTCCACAAATTATCCCTCACTCTTGCTAGGTGTTTGGGCCATCTTTTTTTCAATCATCTATTTCACAGATGACATTCTTTAGACCATTTCTTTTGCCCAATTCTTCATTTGTGATATGTTGTAGCCTGCTTGTATGTATCTTGTGCATCTCCATTTCCTTCTGGGTGATCCTCAACTCCAGCTCTTTAAAGACTGTAGTATCCCATGACTCACAGCCAAGCAACTCCCGGCTAATGGCATTGTGTCAGCCACCGACAATATTCTACTCACTGATCCTATTCTCAGCTATCAAGACAAAAAGAACTGATGTTCAGAAGGATGACCCAGAGGCCCTGGCCAAGCCTGAAACACAGACTGGCTGTAATATGTTTTAACATCAAGTAAATGTTACAATGTACAGCTATCCTGGCAGCCCATGTCATTATTCTCATCAGTATTTGTATCTCCACACATGGGTGACCATGTTGTAGTAGTATGGTGCCCATAAAGTAGAAAGACCACCCAGGAGAATCAGAGGGCATAGATCCAGCTCCATCACTCTGGAAGGCATCAGCAAATCATTCAGCCTTTCTGTACCTCAGTTTTTCATCTGTAAGAAGTGAAGATATTGAACTGCATGACATCTTAGACCCCCTCTTTCTGTTTATCTATAATCCTATGCTAAACCAAAAGAACAAAAAAGGTACTTCTAGCATGGTGAGTAGGTCCTCCCTCGATGTAGGATTTTGGGGAAGTGGGTGCAAAAATCATGCCGAATGAGATGGATTACAATCCACATTTTAGAGGGAGTGTTCATGCTGACAATAATCTGTTTTGAAGTAGGACAGCCAATCCCTCAAGCATTCCAAATATTGGTGTTTCCTATAAAAGGCAGCATTTTGAAAGGAGAGCCCATCAGAATCAGCTGTAAAAAGCCAACCTCCAGGATCAGGATCACATTCTGCCCCCGTATAAAAGAGTTCCTCAGCTGTTCTTGCCCTACTATTGGCTGCAATAAGAAAGCAGGAGAGTGGGCTGCTGGGAGCAAAGGTGATGCTTTTCCCACTCCCACAGAAGAGTTATGGGCCTGAGGAGAACTTTGGAGGGAAGTCACAAGAGAAGCAGGTTGGTTTCACTGCTTATTCTCCAGAGGGAACCTGACAGATTTTGGTGGATGAGGGAGATGTCTATTGGCTTTAGCCTCACCTCCTTGGCCCCACTTTCTCCCAGACAGGAACAGAGGTTGGAATCTGGAAAGCATGGAGTGAGGAAAAGAAAATGACTCAGCATAGGCATGGCCAAGACTAGACAAAAAAAGGTATTTTATCTACCTAAGCAATAGTCTATAGAACACTAAATATAATGTCATTAAAAGCAAGGCAGCAATTTGGCCTTGTTTTTGTAGGAAACTCATCAGAAATGAGGCTCATGAGATGATTAATAATGAATAATTACAACTAGCAGAAGAATCTAAATTACATGGGAACTGAAAATACTGCCCATCCACCTCATGCTGGCTGCATTAGAATCACCTGGAGCTGTCTTCATTGAGACTACAGAAGATAAGCTGACAACCCAACATTTTCATTCAATTCCTTAAAAAAAAAAAAAAAGCATCTCCTCTTATTTACCCCCCAAGAGTCTGCTCAACATTCCACTTCTGTAGCCTGAGTGTGGACAATTCCCCAACCCCCAACCCCCCCCACACACATACACTTGAAATAGCAATGGAAGGATAGCAGCCTGTTCCAAAATCAGAGGGTCTATGCGAATTGCCCTGACTATAACCATGAAAAGAATGACAAAGGTCACTGGTATTTCTATGGCCCTTTAAAGCTGACCAAGAACTTTATGTCATCCTATGGCGCTGTGGGGTCAGAATGTGAGAGACATTCCTATCCCTATTTTACTGACCAGAAAACCAAGGAGAACAAAGATGAACCGACTTGACCAGGGTCACAAGGCTGGCAAAAGTTTGAGGCAGGACCTGAACTAGGGTCTTCCTGAATAAGCTCCAGAAAAGCATCACAACAGAAGTCAAGAAATGCTCATGCCAATTCCTAAAGTCATTTGAGGTTTGTTGTTGTTGGAAGTTTTTTAACAGGATCAGTGTGAAATGACAATGGGCTAATTAGGATTATCTTTTCTAGCCCTGCTTTTTAATCACACAAACTGTCTCATTATGATGTTGGAAACCCCCAATATAAGGCAGCAGGAAGGATGAGGAGCACAAAGAAATGTCCAGCAAAACATGTTCTCCTGGGTCATTTACAGCCTCCCCTGGGGAGTGAGCAGAGTTCATCAGAGGGAGCATCTTCCTTTCAAGTGCACCCCAAGCAAGCTCCCCTTGAGAAGATGGCCTGAGAGAATTCCTGACAATTTGTCTGAGGAAAAACATGCTGACAATGAATAGATGCCTCGAGGTACCTGCCCCTCACAAGAAAGCTTTAAGCTATTAAAGGCATTAAGCCTAGCTGGAACTTTATGTAGAATAGGAAATACCTTAATTTCTTCAATCAGTCAAGCATCAAGCAAATAGAATAGCTGCAATCAACAAATGCAATATAATGTATAAATTTTTTAATGTACCATTTCATCTGCAATAGGATGAAAAACTTGTTTTGTTTGAGTTGGGGTAGAATGGCCATCGGTAGGCAGTGATGGTGCCAATGTTCCATATTCTCAGATGCCATTACTTTGTTTTTGTTTTTTTTTTTTGGCTAGGCAATAGGTTAAGTGACTTGCCCAGGGTCACACAGCTAGTGTCAAGTGTCTGAGGCCGAATTTGAACTCAGGTCCTCCTGACTCCTGGGCCAAAGCTCTATCCTTTGCACCTCCCAGCTGCCCCATACCATCACTTTTTTGTTGTCATGTTCACTTTCTTGGAATTTCACAGTTGAGGTAAACTTTTAGGTTTCCATGAATTAAATCTTTTTATAAAGATAGCTTAATAACTATTTACTTATTTAATCCACTGAAAAGGAATCATCAGTTATGAGCAAGAGATATAATTTTGACATTACAAATTAAGGTCCAGATGGGAAAATGGCATTAATAGTATTATTCCTATTCCATCTAACTTGGATTTTTCTGACTTAATGGATCAATATCTTTGTGTAAGACTTTGAAAGTTTATTCATTTTAGTCAAACAGTATTCTTGTAAATAAAAGAAGATGCCAGCATTTTCCTGCGCTATGTGTATATTTTTATATTTCATAAAGCTTTTAATCTTCAAACAGCATTTGACTGTGGACTACTATCATCAGATTTTATATTTGTGTTTATTCTATTTCAGGTATTTGTATCAGATTAATGCTTTGACAAATAATTTTGAAATGTAGAGAACATGTACATGTAATCATACTGAATCGTTTTATATTTAAAGATCTTAATTTAATAAGTATATAATCATTGGTAGATTTGATGGGGTG